ATTCGGAGATTGCAGCCAGCCTAGATTGTGCCACAGTACTCCAGCCTGGCGACGAAGCAAGACTCCATTTCAAAAAATAAAAATGAAAACAAAAACAAAAACAAAAAACTAGCAGTGTAACTATAATGCATAGATCCACCAAAAGTCCGATTGCTAGAATCACCTTTACACTAGCATGACATCTTTCATAATGAAAAAAAAAGTTTGAATTTTTAAAATCAGAGACCCCAGTATGTAATTTTGATCACTAGATGTTCCATATGTGCCTTGTAATACTTGTTAGCTATTAATTTGAAATAATAAATGGACAGTGTGATTGAGAGTGAGCTGCTACTTGAAAGAATCACTAAACGTGGATCAGCTTAGCTTCCAGAGGCTGTGCCACACTTGAGGATCATTGAGGATGGGAGGAAGGGATGGTCCAGGGATTCCACATCACATCTGAGCCACCCTGGCTCTGAACTGGGCTCAGCCACCCGACATGGGCAGGTCACCACTTCTCAGGGTCTTTGTTTCTTCCTCTGCAAACTATAGCAATACCGTTTAGGTAATTCTGAGGTCCCCGTAAGATTGACAGTACTGCTTTATAAGAGTAAAGAGGTACTCATAGATGGGCATATACCAGAAAGTATGTCTGACTTAACTCGGCTCCCCAGGCATTCTTTGGGCTATACTGTGGAACCCTTTCCTTCTCTCTTACTGCAAATTAGCCCTTAAGCAATTTGAAAATGGTAATATTTAATATTCACACACTTTATTTGTGAAGATTAATGAGGCTTATAAAATGGTTTTGAGCTTTTTGGATGAAAGGAACTCTAAACATGAAATTATATTAATATAACCTTTAACATGATCTTTTGGGTGAATAAATCATAGTGTTACTGACCACGGTTCCTATACATCCTGTAGTAATTATTCCTTATATGTGAGTGACTGTTGATATCCCTTGGGAAATTCTATTCACTGTAGAGTCAGGGCCATTAATATGAAACAAAATGTTAGTAATGCCACATGTGCCTTTGCACAATGGTTAGGCCTTATGGGGGGGAATATGCAAAACAAAGTGTTAGCATACTTTAAAAAGCAAACACAACATTCTAATAGAGGAGTTTACTTAATGAAAACACACTTTCAGCCAGAAAAGTGTATGAGAGGGAGAAAAATGAGGAAATTACAATTTGAACAGTAGTAGTAATGTCACTCTTCCTCAAGAAATAGGCAAATAATATTTTAAAATATGTAGCAATTACCAGTTAGCATATCTACCAGCTTGAATCCATCTGAGAGAGAAAGAACTGGGTTCTGTTTGCAGATAACTAAAAGCCAGAGAATATTTGCTTAAATCAGTTTGCTGTTCCAGTAAACATACTCACTGAAATGATTAAGATCACATCATCTACACAGACAAGTATGGCATTGTACTTAACTCTTTAATGAAACAGCAACATAGGTAGTTATACATAGTTATTTGGAAATCTTAATTTTATGTACCACTCAAAAAATTAATTCATTAGGACATTTGTGTGAATAAAAAGGCACTATATTAAATTATTATGTATACCCTGAAGCTATGTACATCTGTTATGCATCAATTTTTTAAATTATTTTTAGTTAATTGAAAGGTGCTTCAGTTAATTCAAAAGTGCTTTTGGCAGTGTATAGTAGTACTTGGGTGATTTGAATCTATCAGACATGCCATGAGCTGTTTTGAATTCACAAGTTTTCTAACTAGCTGAAAATTAGCACTTTAAGTGGAAGAAAAAATTTTAGTTGAAAATGTAAATACACGTCCTTGATTTCTTTTTTGTTTGTTTTTGCGATGGAGTCTCGCCCTGGCACCCAGACTGGAGTGCAGTGGCGCTATCTCGGCTCACTACAACCTCTGCCTTCCGGGTTTAAGCGATTCTCCTGCCTCAGCCTCCCGAGTAGCTGGGACTACAGGCGCCCGCCACCACGCCCAGCTAATTTTTTTGTGTCTTTAGTAGAGATGGGGTTTCACCATATTGGCCAGCTGGTCTGGAACTCCTGACCTCAGGTGATCTGCCTGCCTTAGCCTCCCGAAGTGCTGGGATTACAGGTGTGAGCCACTGCGCCAGGCTGCTCCACCATCCCTTTATCCTGCCTGTACTCCCCAGTTCCCCTCCACCAGTGTTTCCAGATCCAGAGTTGTTTAGTCATAGGCTATTCAGAAAGTTGTGGTTTTGTTATTTTTTTTGTTTTGAGACGGAGTCTCGCTCTGTCGCCCAGGCTGGAGTGCAGTGGCCAGATCTCAGCTCATTGCAAGCTCCGCCTCCCGGGTTCCGCCATTCTCCTGCCTCAGCCTCCCAAGTAGCTGGGACCACAGGCGCCGCCACCTCGCCCGGCTGGTTTTTTGTATTTTTTTTTTTTTAGTAGAGACGGGGTTTCACCGTGTTAGCCAGGATGGTCTCGATCTCCTGACCTCG